GGAGAACCTGAAGGAATCAAGTTGATACTTGTAGTTGAGAGTGAAGCCTGAAGGTGGAATTGACTGGAAAGCTGAAGCTTGAAGAAGAAGATTAAGTTGAAACAGATGTTTGATAGGTTGAAACCCTGGAGGAGCAAGTTGATACTTGTCATGAAAGATGATAGCCTTGAAGGGTGATGGAAGTCTGAAGACTGAGTTGCTGTCAGAAGAGCTGAGGCTTGGAATGGGAAGAGAGTTGTTGATCTGCTTTCTTGTCTGTTTTCTTTTCTGTGCTGATGTACCTTGTTTGACTTGCTTGATGCATTAGAATAAGTCCATGATTAGACTGACTTTAATCTAGGAGCATGATTGCACTAGAGGTTGAGTTGCTCCCTCTGTTTGTATTGTTACTGTATGGCTTTGCTTGCGGGTATTCGGTAGAGCCCAGCTCCCTTGCCCATGTGGTTTATGTTGCTTGATAGCATGTTATTCCTACTGTATGATTGCAATTTACTGTATTTTACTTGATAGCATGTTTTATTTCTTTAGTATGATTACTGTTATTCATTCTGGCTTGAGGTTGAGATGAGCTTGTGGAGGCTGCTGCCCCACACACATTTCCTCCCTCACTTGCATTGCATGCATTTTACAGTCGTTTATTGTTTACCGTTTAAGCTGATGCTTTATCTGTTTTTGTATCATTGACATGATCCCTTAGGACTCTCATTTCCTTTGATAAGGAAGTGATGATAGAACGTTAGGTTGAAACCTATGCATGATAACTTCTAGGAGTTCCCTGTTTCAAACTTCAACCATAGGATGAATCCATGGCATGACAACATTAGGACTTGATAGTCTCCCCGTAGTTGAGCCTGTTCTCTTCTCATCTCAAAACAGCTTAAGATACAGTAATCATGAATGATTTCTTTCGTACGTTACGAGCCTTAAGCTATCAGAGAAAGGATTGTTGGAGAGTTTCTTTTCAACAGTCTGGATGTTTAGTATGGTACCCTTTGGGTGACATGCGACGCATGAATTCTCGGGTCATAGTCTTTAGTGCGATTGAAATTGCAAACACAATAAAAAACACTTCTTCCGTAAAAGACAGAAAACAAACTTCAAACCTTTTTGCCCCGTGGGCCCATAATCCAAAGGAAAGCTTTTCTGAAGAAAAGAGTGTCGTTAAACTCCAGTTCTACCGCAAACAGGCTTTGTCCCTAACTGCTGGAATGATTGTTTAACCCTACTCGATAAAACAGATGAATCTGAATTCCCGTAATCTGTATTATCCCGAACTACGTAAGCTCTGATCTCTCAAGCCTGTTGAGAGTACGTAGGCACAATACTGACGTATTGGCGAACCACCTTCCCCATAACCCGTAGTTAGCCGAACTACGTTGACTCTGATTTCTCATTCTCTGATGAGAATACGTAGGCATAAAGCGCGACGCTTTGCCGAGTCATTTCTTTTCTGTTTAGACCAGCCTTGATAGGTAGATAGATAAACCAACTCGTCCAGTAAACACAACAAGCGTGGATCCCGTCGAGTACGACGGACGTGAGGGGTGCTAATACCTTCCCCTTGCGTAACCGACTCCCGAACCCAGACAACGGTTGCGACGAACTTGTCTTACCTTTTCGTCAGGTTTTTCCGATCGTTTCCTTTCCCGTTCTGAGGGATAAATAACGAAAGGTGGCGACTCTTCTGTTTTGCCGGCACCTTATTTTCGCGGAAGCGACAAACAACAACAAGTTCATCTATAATATTCAAACAAGATTGATGCAAACAAGTTACAACTTGAAGAAATCATGTTATAAAGATCAAATGTAACAACATAAGACCATCTAAACATGTATTGATAACAATCAAACAAGCAAAAACACAAGAAATGTTACAACAGTTCAAGCATTTGTTCATGACTTCATGGGGAAAAGTAAGCAAGTTTCATGGTAAAAAATAAGTCAACAATCAAACCCTAGCATATTATGGTTCTAACAAGACACATAAACAAGTAGAATGATGCATGAAAAACATATTTAAGAGGTTACAACATCAAGAATCATGTTATGAATCACAAAGAAGTTCAAGGTATACCAATCACATTCAAGCATTCACAAAGACAAGAAACAAAATCTAAACATGTTATGGTTCTAACAAGATACATAAACAAGTATAATGAAGCATGATAAGCATATTCAAGAAGTCACAATATCAAGAATCATGGTATAGGTCACTGATGAAGTTCAATAGGCCATTTTCACATGTATGCATTCACAAAGGCAAGCATGAACATATCAAGGCAATAAATCAAGCAACTTTGAACATTTAAACATGTTAAAATACATATGTGAATCATACAAGACAATTATCACAAGAAAATCAAGTCACATGTTGAAAAAGTTCAAGAACACCATGGAAAAACCCTAAAAACACATGTTATTCAAGTGGACCAAAGTATTTCTAGGATAACAATCCTTGAATTATTTATTCACTCAATGAAAGTAGACATGTTAAGGAGTAGTTTTTAAAAAAATGACATCAATAGCATAAAAAACGACCAAGTTGTGATCATTTGAAGTTGGTGCACAAAAAGAGCAAAACTAGGTCAAGGCAAGGTAAGGCAATCTAAGGCCATTTGCATGAAGAATTGGATCTCAATCAAAACCTAACCAAATGAGGTGAAACAAAAGTGAAAATTGTGTGTTTTTGAACAAGGAATTCAATGGTACAATTTGTTTTTCCATACCATGAACCCACAAGAAAATTCGATAGCATCATTGGTAGGGCAAATTTGGTGACAACCAAGTGCAAGAACATGTGAACAACATTGTGTAGTGGTGTACTTTGTGAAACAAGTGTACAAACATCACATATACATCATATATAGAGGTTGGCACAAGAGAAAACAAGAAATGTACAAGTGGTTTGCCAGATTGGAATCAAAATGCAAAATGTGACCAGGTTGGGCCTAGTTTGTGACCTGAATTTTGACAGTCCAAAAAACACATATTTTGTTGCAAGAAATGGTTCATACATGACACATAATATACATAAAACATGTCTAAGAAATGCTCAACTAAAAATCATGGCTAGAAATCAAGGTGGCATGAGAAATGCAAGTTGTAGGCTTACTTCTTGTAGCCTTATGATGCAAGCTTGAGAAACAAGAAAGCCAGAGATCCTACAAGCTCCTTGATGGTCTGCAAATGCTCTAAGGATGATAAGTAGGTGCTCAAAGTATCCTCCAAGTGAGCTAGTGGTCAAAATGCCTTGATAGTGAAGAAAACACAAAAAAAAACCCCAAAGATTTCAAAAGAAAACTTGCTAAAATATTGTTACAGAAGTGTGGATCACTTACGGATAGTTTTTATATGTCAAATGTGAGGTGTGAGTGGTCTTGGAGCTCAAGGAAGTGCAGTGGTTTGATGACTTCCCTCCAAAATGCAAAAAGTCAACAAATGAGGTTTTAAAGGTTAACTTTTGGTTTGGATAGTTTTCTGGCCAATGTGAGGTCTTAAACAGCTCTAACACATCATTTGTGAAGTGTTTGGAGTGTTGTTTGAGTTGGAAAGTGTTTGGAAATGGTTTTGGAAGGAAAATTGCAAAACAGATTTTGGAGGCTTTGGAAATTTGGTGGAAATTTGCAAGAGCTTGGTGATTGAGTGAGGGAGAGAGTTCTAGCTGGTTTCTAGCATGAGACTGGTGTTGTTGGGATGTGAGAATGGGGTTCTATTTATAGAAAAGGGTCTTTAAGAAGAGGCATGGGCAGATTGCTTCAAAATGCCAATTTTAGCCTTTCAACTTGAAAATCTTTGGAGGAACTAATGCAAATCTGCATTTTTGACCTCAAGCCACCCTAACAAGAGCTTCTCCATGCCCTATAGGTCATTTTCTTCATGCTTGAGGGGATAGGAAGTGACTGGCTGCAACATAATTGATGGTTTGATGAGGACAACCACCATTTTTCTCTTTCTTCACTATTCACATTTGCAACTGGCATTAAACAATGATTTCCTTTAATTCTTGTGCCAAATTTGTGGGAGTTGGTGCTAAACACTTCCATTAGCAATGTGAAGATCAGAAATGAGGCTTAAACCTTAATTAAAATTGATTTGAGAAGCTTTGGAATCAAGACATCCATGCTGAATTGGTTTTGCAATAATGAGTTTTTGCCAACTTGTGAGTTTTGTTTCTCCCTAACCATGAGGAGTTATAGAACCCACTTGTAGTTTTTAGAAATCCCTCATTATATACTACAACATTGATGTTTGAGTTAGAAACTCATTCCACTTGAAACTAGGTCAAAACTCATTGTGAAAATGTTGAATTCTTGACTTACAAGTCAAGAAACCTCAAAATTTCTAAGTGTTTAAGTCCTTCACAACTTGATGAATTCATAACTCCAAATCCATTCATTTTTTGCTCATGGGTCAGTAGGACACTTTTGTAAGGAATCTTAAGACTTTTTCAACAATCTTTGAACCACTCCATTTGGATGCGTGGTTAGGAAGTTATGACCATTTGAAGTTTGATCAAAATTAGAGTTTTTTCACTTACCCTTATTTCTTGATTTGCAATTCTTGATTAAATCTCCACAAAACTCCATAATTAGATGTGAAATAATGTTGGAAACAAAGTTGGCTTTAATTTGGGATAAATACCCTGTTGGTCAATGAGTTGACTTGTCTGATACACGAATCGAACAGTTGAAAATCTCTGGATCGACGGTTGATATTCTGGGTTCTCTAAAGTCTTGAAACTTCTTGTGTAGACTTCATTCGGTCATATGAACCTCATGGACCATAATTGTCTAAATATTTGTGTCTGATAAATTGTTTACTGAAATAGGGCCTATTTCTACCTGTATCGAAGAACCCTTCCTCACGTTTGGCTTGCAACGTTAGAGGGGTAGCAAAACTTTCAGCGCTAGATGATTTTTCAATTAAAAAAGACGTACAATTTCTCTCTCTCTTTCAATTATCCTGCAAATATAACAAACTCATTCATAAATTAATCATCAATGGCAACGATTTTCATAAGAGATCTCGAAAACCGTTACATAACCTCACTGAAAAACTGCCTCAAAATAACCGAACTAAAGAAGATTCACGCTCACATCGTCAAGCTTTCACTTTCACAAAGCAACTTTATAGTCACAAAAATGTTGGATTCATGCGACAACATTGGCCACATTGGTTACGCTACTTCACTCTTTCAACAACTCATTCACCCAAATATCTTCTCCTACAATGCCATCATCAGAACCTACACCCACAATCGCCACCATTCTTTAGCAATCAATTTCTTCATCCGAATGCTTACACATTCAAGTAAATCAGTTTTTCCAGACAAATTCACGTTCCCTTTTGTGATAAAATCGTGTGCGGGGATTCTGTGTTGCAGTCTTGGTATGCAAGTTCATGGGCTGGTTTTTAAATTTGGGGTTGATTCGGGTAATATAACGGGAAATGCATTGATTGATATGTATACGAAATGTGGGGATTTGGTTAATGCGTGTAAGGTGTTTGAGGAAATGGGTCACAGAGATGTGATTTCTTGCAATAGTTTGATATTTGGGTATGTGAGATTTGGGCAGATGAAGAGTGCAAGGGAACTGTTTGATGAAATGCCTGTTCGGACAATTGTGTCTTGGACAACTATGGTAACTGGGTATGCTAGAACAGGTTGTTATGCTGAGGCGTTGGGTGTTTTTCGGGAGATGCAAATGGTGGGTATTGATCCTGATGAGATTAGTATTATAGCTGTTTTGCCGGCTTGTGCACAGCTTGGAGCGCTCGAGGTTGGGAAATGGATTCATATATATGCTGACAAAAATGGGTTTTCGCAGAAGAGTGAAATATGTAATGCATTGGTTGAAATGTATGCAAAGTGTGGTTGCATTGACGAAGCTTGGAGTTTGTTTGATCAGTTGGTTGAGAAGGATGTGATTTCTTGGAGTACCATGATTGGAGGGCTAGCTAATCATGGAAAAGGTTATGCGGCAATTCAACTCTTTGAAGAAATGCAGAAGGCGAGAGTTGCTCCTAATGAGATAACCTTTCTTAGTGTTTTGTTGGCTTGCTCTCATGTAGGCTTGTGGGACGAGGGGTTGAAATACTTTGATGTTATGAGGGCGGATTATCGAATAGAACCAGAAATTGAGCACTATGGGTGCCTTGTGGATCTTCTTGGACGCTCAGGACGACTTGGTCAGGCTCTTGACACAATATTGAAGATGCCAATAAACCCGGATTCAAGGATATGGAACTCTTTGTTAAGCTCGTGTAGGATTCATCGCAATCTTGAGATTGCTATCATTGCAATGCAACAGCTCCTGGAGCTTGAGCCAGAGGAATCTGGGAACTATGTTTTGCTCGCAAACATATATGCAGAACTTGGCATGTGGGAAGATGTATCAAATATTAGGAAACTCATAAGAAACAAGAGGATAAAGAAAACCCCGGGGAGTAGTTCGATTGAGGTTAACAATGTGGTTCAAGAATTTGTATCGGCCGACGACTCAAAGCCATTTTCACAAGAGGTCTTTCGGATTCTAGCGGAGCTGGCTTTACACCAAACTAGAACCAGTGACTTGATGGAACTTGCCGAAGAAGATTCTGATACAAGCTCGCCGTAAATTGTGACTGTGCTTGTGTCATTCAGCATTTTGCCAGTGCTATAGGCAGCTTTACTTGAGTTTGGGAATGCTGGGACTGCCAAACCAGATAGTATATCGCTAACAAGGTAATTAGAAGCCTAAAGGAATACCATAATTCTGGAGGTTGATGTGCTTCAACCTCTAGCATAGAGTAATGTATGAAACTTACGGTACAGATGTTATAGAATAATATAATGCCTGCTAAAATTTGTTTGTGTTTTATATATATATTAAGGGATGGCTAATATTTACCCTATCACAATTATTATATGTAGTTGTGTGCAGATCCAAAGATGTGTTGATTACAAGAATCACATATGCATTGTAAGTAGCAAAGTTCCTTTCAACGCATTTTAATGGTGTTATCAGCTATTTGAGAAGCTTGGACCAACAGCTTTTGGAATCTGTAGAGTACAGCAAAGTTCCTTTCAATGCATTGTAAGTAGCAAAGTTCATTATTATATATTTACATAAAATCATGTGATCTGGTACAGAGGGTTTTCATCAGATGAAACACAATTCAGGTGCTTTCAAAAGTCTAGTGCTATTGAGCTGATTGATTTCGGTAGTACTGCATTTGCAAATCAGAACCACAGTTTATTGTTTCTACAAGCCATTACAGTGCCCCTTCTTCTTAGGTAACTAAATATGGATCATTGCCTAGCCGTTTCATTACATTTGAGTATCTAAATTTCTGCAGCAACACTTGTTTAAATATATTTAGTTGATGGCCGTACGGAGCTGTTTCAAGGGAAAGCATAAACGCTGTGAAGAAGCTTGGTTATCTTTAGGTTTGTTTAGTTCTTCCGTTTCAGTAGTTGCTAGGCTTGATCTTAATAAATCAATTAATGTGTATGTATTTTAACTTGTAATCTCCAATTTTTTTATGCAGGACATTATATCATGTTACCTAGAGTCCTCAAGGTCCTTATTAATTAGATTTGTTACATGGCGAATTACTGCTCTGCTCGCCAAGCTCTTGATCCTCCCTTTAGGATTTAAACTTAAGAAGTCAAATTTCTTCGTTGTTACAGTTTAGTGGTTTGTTTGACTATTTTATGTGTAATTCTGGGTTCAAATCCGGATTGCTACATTTTTGCGAGAATGTGTTGACCATTACGTCAATAAATAAAAACTTAAGAAGCTAAATGTCTTTTGCTATGAATAACGCCCATTTTAATGATGATCAGTTAAGCAGGCTACAACTTTGCTTTACATGTATCTACCGGAGTATTTATTATACATTGCAGTTACTAATGCTTTATGCTTTCTTTTTTACTTTATTTGATACAAGTCCTTTTGCTCATTCTTTTCGTTGTGATATTGAATGAAGTACCATCTTCACGATCCCACGTCTTTTCCTTTCACATACATTTTTAAATAAAACTCAGCAAGCGACAATAGTTCTTTTCCAATAAAACGGGCATATACTCTTTTTCTACGAGGAAACAACATATCTAAAATGTCAAGACGAATACCTCAAATAACAATCATCAGAAATAGCGTTGGTTGAACACAATATTGGTGATCAAAATACTATGAATAGCGTTAGCGAGACAAAGTGGCCGAAACAAGACCACACAATACCAGTGTGCAAAGAAGAATGACACCAACTATTGCTATAGTAGTAGTGGTATATTGTTATGTTTTTCTTAACCAAAACCAGAGGACACTGCTGGAAGGGAAAAGAATATCACGAGTCAAGCAATGGCTCTTGATACCAATTCAAAATAAATTCTGACTTAGTTGTCTTCTATCATTCTATCTGTTCCTCCAAAAATAGTACATGCTCAGTAACTATACTTAAATGACATAATCACCACTAGCAATTACAAATACATTCTGAATTTAAATTCTAATTATATACAACTTTTTAAATTATACAAAATACAATAGAAAACTAAAGCTAATTGATAAGGCATGCCATGAGAAAGAGTGTGCTTATAAACAGAAGCCAAGCAAGTAGAAAAGGATGAACAATAAATGGAAGAATAAATATTCCTTTTAACGTCTCTAAGACTGTTTTCATTCGGATTGGATCTTCCTTTACCAGGGAACTTCATAGTGTTAACTTTGCAAAAGTGAATTCATATTGAAGACAAATATTAATGAACCAAAACTGTCGCTAGTGACAAATCGAACATGTTTTACATCCTGAACTACACTCTGCAAGATAATTCCCCTTTCAATCGAATAGGTTCTACTCAACATGAAATGAAAAGAAGTACATATATATAACAAATGAAAAATGTAAAGACTGTTATGATTAAGCAACCAGCGACTATCTAGGATATTTGATCAGGTCGTGCAATGCGTCTGAAAACAGCTTGAAAAGTCTGTCCATCATTTCTGGCAACCTTTTGGCCTTCTTCAGTAGCAGAGCTTAAAAGCTTAACAGCTGGATCTGCTTCAAGTTCTTTCTCAGTCAACGGTTCAAATAAAGGGTGATTCTCCAAACAAGATTTCATCCACTCCCCAAGCTCTTCCACGTCTGTTATTGTGTATATAATTCCACCAACCTCAAGAACATAAGCATACTCATCTAGTAAGAATGGGCTGATAACCCGACGACGATGGTTCTTCTCTTTGAAATGAGGATCAGGAAACAAGAAAAACATCTTCGAGAGTTGTGCTTTCTCAAAGTGATTTGGAATGTACTTCATGGAGTTAGTTCGTACAACAGAAATATTTTGGTATTGACCTGGATTTGCTACCCTTAAGGATAAAATCCTTTCCTTGACATACTCAGATACTTTATCTCTAAGTTCCATTCCAATCATCAGTGTGTCCGGGAACAGAGTCGAAAGACTGATGAGCAGCCCACCAAAACCACATCCAATATCAGCAAACTTAATCTTTTTGGAACTATCAACTTGATCAGACGAGGGAAAGAACTGAGGATAATGAAGAGAATAGTCAACATGAGCGGGTGTTAACGGCACAGGGAAGTGAGAGTCGCTTAACGGGTTGCTATGAGCTCGTGCTCTATAGAAGCGCTTTCGAGGCAAACCAGTTGATTTGCTGAAAGTTGGATTTACCCTAGTATCAGGCATGTTTGTTTATTCAAACTGCAGCATAGTTAAAGCAAGAATCTTCAGAACAAATACACAAAGATGATTGATAAAGGAAAATATTTTCTATTACAACAAATACAATATTATAAATACTGGGCATAAACTTTGAAAGCATAAAAATCAGCAAAAAAAAAAAATCAGCAGAATAGTCCAAAAGAATTATGACAAACATGTGGCGTGCATGACAACATACATAATGTTTAACACAGAACACAAAGAAGACAGCGTTATATACTCGATTAGTACTATAAAAAACCATAAATTCATCCTATGTCGATGTTAAATGACAAGGTGGAAACATCGGAACGAAATGGGTACAGAGAATAATAATAATAATAATAGATCGAAATGAGAAAAAGAAAAGTAAGTTACCTTATAATAGGAGTAACAGAAGGAAATTGAAGGAAGTGACTTTGCGGGGAGATTCGGGAGGCAGAAGTTCTAGCGGCGACGACAGAAAGAAAGGAACGGGAGGGAGGGCAGTGAACAGAATTGAACAATATGTTTGGGCCTCAATATTACTCCCAATATCTTTGGGCCTCAATATTACTCAGCCCAATATTACGCTCCTTTGTTGTTTACTTTGCGGAGAAATTTACCTGACACCTTTATATCTCGACCAATGTTTTAAAAATCAGATTGGACCGGCCTGCTCATGTGATTGAATCAGAAACCCGAGTTAAATTAGGTATGGTTAACCTTACAAAACCACTTGTGAATAAAAATCGCAAAAATTCAATTAAATCGTCTAAAATAATTTAAAATAAAGATCAGAGTCAATTTTATAAAATTGTCCAATTCAAAAAAATTTAAAATTATAAAAATTCTAAAACCATTTTTTTAAAGTTTAATATATCAATATCAAAATTTAAAACATTTCTTATTCACATTCGTTTAGGCTTTGTTTGGATTATTCGGATTACAAAAGAAAATGAGAGGAAGGAATGTAAGAGGAAGAAATATAAATACCCTAATCTAAAAATAAAATACAATAACAGAATTAGAAGAAATATAATTTCATGAATTAAAATAAACAAGTTATACTTTATTGATGTTAAGTTTTTTAAAAAACAATTTATTAAAGTTATGAATTTTAACGGACAAATATCATATAATTGAATTGTATTGTTGTACTAGATTGAAAAAAAAAAGTTCAAGACATTGTAACAATAGAAATCTGGTTTATTTGTCTTTCCAAACAAAATCACGTTCTATTCAGCTTTACGTTCATGTTCATATGGGTGAGAAAACATTTTTTTTAGGCTTAATTGCAACTATGATTCCCCTATTTTGTATATTTTTGGATTTTGGTTCCCCATTTTAAAAACTACGATTTGACACTCTCTAAGATGACGTGTCAATGTCAGGTCATTTTTAAAAAATTAATTTAAGACTTTTTTTATTGACTGGATAATTAACTTATTAATATTATTTTAATTAATTAATTAATTAATGATTAACATTTTATTATTAATTTTTATAATTAATTAATGTCTTTAGTCCATCTTTCTAACCCACAATTGAATTATTGTATTTGTTCAGCTTTATAAACACTTTTATGTCTTATACAAAAATCAAGGTGGAACTTCTAAAAGACATTTTATACTACAACAACTTCTCCTTCTTCTCAAACTTGTGTCCAGTGTAACAACTTATGCTTCTTCTCCATACTGCAAATCTACTGTTCTTCTTCATTTGACAAGGAATAACTTTGTTGTTTAAAAACATTCTTAAATTCTACCATGAAAATATCAAACCCTCCTGCAAGGAATAACTTTGCAACACAGTCCCATATCAAACTGATTTCCTGTCTGAGCTTCATCACGATGTCCCTATCACATATTGTCACATTCCACAAAAGAGTAGATACAACAATACCACAACTTTATAAACAGTGGTTCAAGTAACTAACTTCGGAAACACAGTGCAACAGATGTGGAGATTCTTTAGAGGAGACAATGATTCAATGAATAGTTACTTGAACAAATGTATATACTATTCAGGAATGACAAGCAGTGATTACCTTAATAACTACTTCATGGCTGATTTTTATCCAACCAACACTCAATACACTCCTAAAGCTTTTTCTTCTGCCCTTCTTTAAGCTTACGCTCGTCAGTTAACTGTAAGCGTATTGCTATTATGATTGCATGCGGTAACAAAAGCGATTCCATTTTCATATATTAATGATTTTTTCTCTTAATATTGTTCAGCCATTACATTCCTTAGGTGCAAGAAAAGTGATTGTTGCAGCAAATTGAGGACAGCTTCCAGGATCAAAGTTTGTGTATTTGGATTTTTATCAAAGCAGTGAAGATCTAGCAACAAATGGAAAATCATATGGTAATGTTCTTTTCTAGAATCATAGCAAAAACACTTAGTTTCAAAAGCTGATTTTGGAATTTTTGTTGATGTTATGACAGGATTTGATGTTGTTGACAAAGGATGTTGTGGTGTTGGTAAAAACAATGGACAAATCACTTGTCTTCCATTGCAACAACCATGTGAAGAACGTGGCAAGTATTTATTTTGGAATGCTTTTCACCCTACTGAGTTGGCTAATATTTTACTAGCAAAAATTTCATATACTTCACAATCTTATACTTCTCCTATTAATATTCAACAATTGGGTATTTAAGTGTTGAATCCGTTTACATAAAAAGGTCACCCGTTCACTACAAACTGGTTTCCTTTCTTTTGCACCATCTGCCATTCAGCTTCCTCCATTTCATTCCTTAAACCAAAAATCATATTAATTAGAATTAAAAACCTGAGAGAGGGGGAACTTTCTAATAACAATACATACCCATAATGTGTAATTGTATTAAAAATATTAGAAACAATTTTTCCTACAAACATCTGTGCACATGTCTAACCTATTTGAAAGTCATGGCCAAATCCCAAAACTTTTGTATCATGCTGTTGGCAGCTTCATTGTTGAAGTTTGCAGTATTCCCAGCCTAATTAATGGAGAAAAATGATACTGTCTTAGCATTTCAACATTTTATTCACAAACATTATAATGCTTATGTTGACACTTGTGTGTACAAATTGCAGTTGGCAATTTTTCTGTTTGTTTTGACTAGATGTGGCAGTTTCATAACTATTTGACAGTTTCATAACTATCTATGAGTCTATAAACAATGTTGAATAATTTTTAGTTCTCAAAAATATAATTAGCTTATGAAAATGATTCTACTGTTTTATTTATGTTTTACAAAGACCTCTAATTATAGCTTTTTCAATTAAGGTTTTCTTTTTGTTTTTATGAAACATAATTAATGCATCACATGGATTAGAATCTTTGGTTTTCTTTATTTTCTGACAAGCTCATTACATTAGATAAACAAAAGAACAAAAGGTAGAAATTTTAGAATTCTCTTTAGCCTTCTGCAATGGACACATGTTTGAGAAGAAGGAGAAGTTACTGCAATGAAGAAGGAGATACTGTTGTAGTATAAAATGTCTTTTAGAAGTCCCACATTGATTTTTGTATAAGATATAAAAGTGTTTATAAAGCTAAAACAAACACAACAATTTAATTGTGGATTAGAAAAATGGACCAAAGACATGGACCAATAACTAAAGGCCAAGAGGGGACTAAAATCAAACTCAAAACTTAAATCGTGGTTTTTAAAATGGGGGATCAAAATCCAAAAAAATACAAAATAGGGGGATCATAGTTGCAATTAAGCCTTTTCTCTTCCTTTCTTTCCTTCCATTTTCATTGATGAACAAAACAAAAGAAATGTGATATTTCCATCCACTTTCTCTCTATTTAGGTTTCTTTCTTCAAATACAAACACATGATTAGTGTTGTTCAATTAATTATATTATTTTGTTTATTTTTTAATTCTATCCTATTCAATTTAAATATTCTAAATTATTTAAATTTTACATTAAGCTTATAATATATTAGTTTTAGTTTGAACTATTTTATTGTAATTCTTTAGTTTTTTTAAAATTGTTTTTAAATAAATATTGAAATTAAGTGTATAATTATTTTGTGCTATTATTTTTAACATTAATCTTATTGTATTAATTTTATAATACATTTTTGAAATATTTATTTTATTAAGTTGTAAATCTATAATTTTGTATAAGATATCTATGAAATTTAGGTCCATATTATTAATTTATTTAATAAATGATTCGACCGTATATTTAATCAGTTGAATTAATCAAACCTTAAATCAAGAGTTTTACTGATTCGACCTTCAATTCAATTTTTAAATAATTTATCTCAACCACTGCAAATGAATCGACTATTACATTTTTAAAATTTTAAAATTAAAAAAAAAAAAAAATCAATTTTTTGCATAAACATTCTTCAGGATAATTTAAATGTGTGGAAATTTTTTGCTTATCTTTTTAAATATAGGAAATGCATTTTGGATTTCAAATATATATATATATATATATATATATATATATATATATATATATATATATATATATATATATATATATATATATATATATATATATATATATATATATATAAATTTTGGTATAGCAGATCTCGAAGATGTCCTAAGAGATGTCGAGACACTTAATCTCTGCTTCATACACAATGATAATAAGGAGCAGAAAACAAATTGCAGAAAGAAAACAACACACAAAATTGTTAACCCAGTTCGGTGATCAACCACACCTACGTCTGAGGGCTACCAAACCAAGACTGAAAATCCACTAAATAATATTAATTCTAAGCTAAACTCCACTGTTTACAACTTATCTCTTAATCACTACCCGTGCTTAATTTTTACCTAAGACTCTTCCTAGGTATGCGACCCTTCTCAATTCCCTTTCAATCATAACAATGAATGAAATTACAACTCATGCAAATTGTCCAGCTCTGGTATCAACATAATACAAGAGTGGCTCACAAAGTACAAACCCTAGTACACACTAAGCAGTAGTGAAAAAAATTATTCCCTATCTTAGGTTAAATCAATCCTATTTATAACTATAAACAA